TCAAGCTCTAGCTGAGGCTAATTTGCAGCATCCTCACACAACTGCTCTGTGTCACTAGGTATTCGAGTCTTTTATTTTTAAAGACAAGACATACAGAAGAAAGCTAACAACTAGACACTGTTAGAAAGCTAATTTTAAAAGGGGGTCTTCTTAGTTTTAATCTATAAAGTAAATGTGGGACACATGGCATCTTTAAGAAAAGTTGTGTTTTTGGTAACTTCACTTCAAAAGAATACTTTAAAAAAATATCATTGTGTTAAAACTAAGGAGCCTTCTCTACTATTCTATGAATTTTATGGAATGTCCCAACTATTGTGCCCTATGCCAGGAAATAAGGGGAAAGATATATCTTGACATATCTAGTGCCTACTGTATTCTAACACAATGTTTCTATTTTTTTATTTTATTTTTTTAAGAAGATTTTATTTGACAGAGAGAGCACAAGCAGGAGGAGCGGCAAGCGGAGGGAGAGCAGGCTTCCCACCGAGCAGGGAGACCGATGCGGGGCTCGATCCCGGGACCCTGGGATCGTGACCTGAGCTGAAGGCAGACACTGAAACGACTGAGCCACCCAGGCGCCCCTAACACAATGTTTTTAAAACCATGGGTTGCAACCCATTAGCTGGTCCTGAAATCAATTTAATGAGTTGGTCACCATCAATAAAAAATGAAATAGAATAAAACAGAAAATAGAGTGCTCTACATATCTATGTAAAGTGCTCTACATAGATAAAGTACAGTATGCTGAGTGAAATAAGTCAAGCACAGAAAGTCAATTATCATATGGTTTCACTTATTCGTGGAACATAAGGAACAGCATGGAGGACATTAGGAGAAGGAAGGGAAAAATGAAGGGGGGGACATCAGAGGGAGAGATGAACTGTGAGAGACTATGGACTATGAGAAACGAACAGAGTTCTAGAGGGGACGGGGGAGGGGGGACGGGTTAGCCCGGTGATGGGTATTAAGGAGGACACGTACTGCATGGAGCGCTGGGTGTTATACGCAAACAATGGATCGTGGATCACCACATCAGAAACTAATGATGTATTGTATGGTGACTAACATAACATAATAAAATTAAAAAAAATAAAGTACTGTCTTCTGATACTTGTTTCAGTTGTGTATATTTATCAAATCCATTCAATCCATCCTTCAGCAATGCCAGAAAAATTTTTCTGAAGACATGTCTAAAAAGTTATCTTTGGCCTCAAACTCTTCATCCAGCTCCCTTAATAGCCAGAATAAAGTCCAAACTCTTTCAAAGGTTTTCAATTTCCCCTTCCTCAGCACCTCCCCCACGGTCCTTCTACTTGTCATTTCAGAAAACGACATCACCATATACTGGGTTGCTAAACTTAAATACCGAGTAGTTCCATCTGCCCTCCTCTCCTTTTCCAGTCTACCCCATCAGTCTCGTCTCTGGATTCTCATCTAGTCTGACTCAAAATTTATCATCTCAGAGCCTTTCCTTCCCCCTCACTCTTCATCAACCTCTAAACCTACCCCTGCCTTTCTCTAATACACATTGCCCACTTTTGAATATATTTTTCAAGATTTTATTTATTTGACAGAGAGCACAAGCAGGGGGAGTGGCAGGTAGAGGGAGAGGGAGAAGTGGGCTCCCCAGGAGCAGGGAGCCCGATGCGGGGCTCGATCCCAGGACCCTGGGATCATGACCTGAGCCGAAGGCAGTTGCTTAACCAACTGAGCCACCCACGTGCCCCTGTATATTTTTTATAACAGTTCCAATTCAAATTACCATGTCTATTCTTGTAGATGTATTTAGCATCTCTCTCCCCACCAGCTGTAAAGTCCGTGGGGGCAGGGAACTGGTCTTTCTCTGCTGTACCTCTGTGCTGAGACCAGTTCAAGGTTCATGGTAGAAGAGCCACCAACATATATTTACCAAATGAAAGAGTTCCTGAATTAAACTTGGGGTTCCTAAAATACTCTCTTCTACTTTTTGTCATGGTACCTTCTCTTTCTTCTGCCCAGAATGTACTGTTCCCACTTGTTCTCTTGGTAGGCTTCTATTCATCCTTTAAGATTGCACTTTCTTTATGAGAAATTTCCTGATGCTCCTGGACTGAGTTCATACTGGTTCTCAGTGACACTGCAACCTCATTCCCTCACTATTTTGCAGTCGTTTTCATATTGGACTTCCCAACTGGGCTGTGAGCTTCCTCAGGGCAAAGTTTTTTGTCTCCTCAACTCCTAGCACTCAGTAAGAGTGGTTATATATTTGGTACATATAGTCATTCAATAAGTGTTTGCTGAATGATTGGGTACACAAGTGAAAGAGAGTTGATGATCAAGAAAGTTGATTATTTGTGATGATATTCCCTGATATAAACTGTAAGTAAATAAAATTCTGGATTTCTAGAAAGGGAAAGATGTGTGTGTGTGTGTGTTGTATAGAGCAGAATGTGTTGGGGAAGGGAGGGAGTAAAAAGGGATGAAAGCATAATTATTCTGTATAAAATACTTCTATTTACAAAATGGATAATTTTAAAATATCATGCTGTCTTAGTGCATCTTATATAATTGATCAGCTTTCATTTCCACATAGTTTTTCAGGAACAAAACTGTTAAGTAAAGTGAGGGAACAGTGTTAGTGATGAAAAAGCTTGTGTCTGGTTTTAGGGTGCAATCTGACCCAGGCCAGAGAGTGTGGATTTGCACTGCTCCCTGTGAGACTCTCATGTCAAGTTATGAAATACAATTAATACAAAACAGGAGTGGAAAAGGGAGCAAAAAGTGTCCTTAAATGTGTGTGTGTGCGTGTGTGTATTTGAGAGAGAGAGAGAGAGAGAGATCTTGTTTACTCTGGACTTACATTCTTTCTTAATAGAGCTGTTACTTGCTCTTCATCATCTTACATAAAACTGCCAAGCTGGAATAAAGCCAAACTGCTTATGAGAAAACCTATTTTCTTCTCATTTAAAAAAATCTTTTATTAAAAGTCCCCCTTCATTTGCCTTCTTATTCTAGCTGTAGAGGATTCTTCAAAGCGGGAGGAGGAGGGGACTAAAGCAGAAGTGAGACATTTAAAACACTTAACAAAAGGATTTCTCAAACACTGAATTATATGGGAAAATCTGCCTCTCTTGTTTCCCACAGTAAATAGTATTGGAGGATCTGTACTACAAATAAAAACTTAAGTGGAGAGGGTTCCTTTGGAAAATGCCCCTTCCCCTGTGGATCTAGGGCTGTCCTACCTTGTGTGATTTCAGGGAGGTCCCCAGCTGCACAGTTTCTCTTCTGAAGTCCTACCATTGGAAGTTCAGGGTTTTTTGGGTTAATAAACTGTTCCATTTACATAAGCCCTAGTCAACTTTCAAGAAAAAGCTAGGCTAGGACCATTTATAATTCTGTGACTCAGCCAAAATGGCTACCTTTGGGAATCCTAATTTTGATAGATGGAAGGAGAATGACAGGCCCCGTGGAGAGCCCCAAACAACATGAGGAAATGGGTGTCCTAATGCCAGGGGGGAGACAGGTAGGTCATGAGTAGAAAGGGAAAGGGGAACAAAGGGTGTGGAAGTTCAGGTTTACCTGGTTCTCAGCTCATCAGGGGAAACAAATTCTCATTCGAGCTGAGGAAAGCAGAAGAGGAAAGGATTTTTTTTTAAAGAAACAAACAAAAAATAAGAAATAATACCATTTATTTTGCAATTGAAAAATTAAATTGATTTAAGAATTAAAGAAATTTCAAGAAAACAATACTATTTCACACTAGACACCAAAACTTATTAAGATCATTGGATCATCTGGGCCTGAAAGTCTTTGTTTCTGGAGTGGACACTGATGTCCCCCAAGATGGGACAAGAAACAGACCATCCCAGGTGAACAGGGTGGAGGCTCTCTCTTGAAGTACTCAGGTTCTGGAGAGGACATGGTTCTGATAAAAACCCTTCTCTTCAGGTCTGTGCTCCTTGTAACATGCTCTCAACTTGTTCATAGAGGATAATATGGTGCTTATTTCCCAAGATATTCTGCTTAGCTCTGGTAATTATAGAATTTAAGAAAAAATAAAAACTAGGGGGCTTGATGTTACATTTTACCAAGATTTCTAGCCATGAAGTACAGAGAACTGGCATGTATTGAGTGATTAATTAGCTGTGCAACTTTGAGCAAGTTACAAGTTACTTTATTTTCTGTGCCTCAGTTGTCTCACCTGTAGAATAAGAATAATTTTAGTTTTACTTTATAGTATTCTGAGAATCAAATGTTATCATGCTTCAAGCATTTTCAACAGAGAGGGGCAAAGAGTGAAGTTATATTAGCTATAATGAGGATGATGATGGGGAACAATGACTATTCCCCTGAGCCAGGAATTAGATTCTCTGCTATCTTGTTTAATTCTCAAAACAATTGTTTTAGGTGACTATTTAAAACCCACTTTTCATCTAAGGTAACTGAGTTACAGACAGATTAACTAACTTGCCCCCAAACATACAACTCGTATGCATCAGAACAAATGGAGATACAAATCTAGGTTGGCTGTGCACCAAGGCGCCCATGAGTTCCCACATCTCTGCTTTCCAGTGAGCCCCTCTTTACCTCAGTCCTCTAAAAGCATTCATTCACTGTATTCCTATAGCAGTTCTAAAAGCTTCCACTGTATTCCTATAGCAGCTTGCTTGAATTTTTCTGGTGAATTTCTCCACATCCTGATTTTTTTTCTTTTCAGCAAACTTTCCCTTGCTTATCCCTCCTTCAGTGTAACCTTGTTAGCTTTGAGGACACACCCCTGGCTAGCCCTGGTCTCACAGGGCCGCCTCTCCCCACCCCTTCCCTCTGCTGTGGTTTAAAGTGTCACCAGATGCCTCTGGTTCATTCCCTTTGCTTTAAGCCCTTACAAGGGCAGGAGGAACAAACGCCGAGTCCAGAACCCATTAGTTCTGGGGTGACAGTGAAGGGATCTTGTGGGGAGCACTGACCTCCCTCCCCTACAACCCCTTCATCACTAGGACTGTTGGTACAAAAGAAAACCGGTTGGGAAAATGAAGAACTTCTGGTAAGTCCTTGACATTGGAAAGAGTGGTGGGGAGACTGGGTTGGGGGCCCTAAGAACAAAGGGTCTGTGTTTCTGCAGTGATGGTAGGATGAGAGGAGGTGAGGGGAGATGGGAGAGGGGAGAGGAGAAAGAGAGAGAGACCCAGACAGAGAGCCAGACAAGAGAAAGACAGGGAGACAGAGGAGAGTGAGACAAGAGAACAAGCGTAAGAAACGGGAGAGAGACAGAGAAAGGAGAAAGAGCTATTAAAGTGAAGAAGGAGAAATACTAAGACGAAGGAAAACATAGACAAGGAAATGGATGCAGAAATGGTGAAATAGGTAGATATGGAGAAAGTGAGATAGAGCAAATGGCAGTCTCATTATTGTTTTAGTGTAGGAGTTGGAAACGTGAGAATTCATTAAATCTCTCAAGATTTCAAAGTCAAATGGAAAAAAAACTGTACTGAGATTTGATCACCTACATTAATTGTGTTTACCATATCCTCAAAATATTTAAGCAGTCCCCATCTGGAGGGATTCCTGTTTGAGTTATTTTCTCTTCTCCTCTTTAGGAAAATTCCAGTTTTCTTCTTTGTATGCAGTTTCCTGGGATCTTGGGCATCTGCTGCTGTCAAGCGTCGCCCAAGTAAGGCCACAGTTTCTGGATTTTGAAATATCACTTGTTCCCAGAAAGGATCAGGCAGGGCTGTGGCTGAGTGAGAACTGAGTGAAACATCCATAGGCCTCCACAGCCTCACTCTTCAATCCTGCTTTAGCCATGGGATTACTCCATGGCTGGTTTTATGTGGGCAGTGTTGGGTATAGAAGAGAAGTCCTGGGTGTGATCACAATTGACAGGAAAGCCAAGCTGTGTACTCTAGTGCCTTGCACAGTGCCTACTTGGTTCAATGATGATTGGTAATATTAGGTGGGTGGACCGATGGGTGGATGAATGGATGGATGAATGACCTGGGGTCAATGGAGATGTAAAGAGTATTTTGATATACTGGGATGGCTGAACCAAAACTTGTAGCTGGAAAATGCTTTTTCTGAAGTCTGGAAGTCTCTGTTGTCAGGTGAGTCTCAGCAGGGTGCTGGGGTTGGACAGTTACAAGAAGCCTTCTTAAAAACTTTCTCCCTGCAACTTTCCACCTGTGTAAGGAGCACCCAATTTAATTCTAGGATTTCTCATTGAATTAAGGGTTTAATCATTTTCATGATTCTTTTCTTTTTCTCATTACTTTTACCCATTCTAGGATGCTAGCAATAGTCTAGCTGGGACCATTTTTTGATCTCTTGGAAAGAATTTGTAAAATTAAAAGCACCCTATAAATTTTATTTTGTATTAATGAATCCCAAGTCTCCCCCCAAACTCCCTGAGAACTCCACTCTCTAGAAGTCCCATTAACTGGCTCAAGGCTGGCTCTGGATTCTCTTAGGAATTCTAAAATTTGTGGTGTTTAAGGAATATTTTCTAGTCCAAGCCACCAGAAGTTTTCCAAACAGGCGTCTGACGCTCTGCCATTCAGAACATTGTACAGCTCTGGTTCCAAAAGGAACAAATTCCTAACTTCTCTCAAAGGAACATTTTCCCAGTGCAAATTATTAAAACTTCACACCTTGTTTCTCTTCCAGGATGAGTTGAAGATGAATTAATTATAATCATAGAGTCATTGAGTTAAAGCCAAATACACTATAAGCAAGCTATTTGGCATATTATTCTCCTTTAAATAGTTGTTCAGCTCTTATTGTTATTGATACATCTTGATGGCCCTTGTAGGGGTTGGGGTAGGATGATATGCTATCTCTTTTGCAGGGTTCCCTGTTAATTCAAATTCTAATGGTGGAAATGAACTCTGTCCAAAGGTCAGGATTGGTCAAGATGATTTACCAGGCAAGTAGTCTTGTATCATATTGAAAATCCATTCTTTCTATAAACCTACCTGATATATTCTTTTATTTGGAAAGGTTGTGGAAAGGAATATAACCAATCTCATTTTAGACTTTTTATTTTGTGTTCCCTTTCTGTAGGCTTTGACTTGATTTCTCAGTTCCAGGTAGATAAAGCAGCATCTAGAAGAGCTATTCAGAGGGTAGTAGGATCAACTGCATTACAAGTGGCTTACAAATTGGGAAATAAGGTAGACTTCAGGATTCCAACAAGGTATATAAAAATATTTTATCTAATTATCTGCCTCAAAAGCATTTTAAAAAATGAAAAGCTATGCAATGTTAGAAAATCTTCTCATGCTCAATGTTTCCTAAATCATGATTTTATTTGAAGATGAAGAAATATATTTACCTATCTACTTCAGTGTTCAGCGTCTAAATATGTGCATACTCTTCATGTTTTCAGTATGTAATTTACTTTTCATTCCAGGGAGAAAAAAAATCACTGAAACCATTATACATTGATTCAGGACATGTTCTTATTACTTTGCTTTCTGTTTTTGTATAATTTGTCTGGTTTTGGCTGAAAGGACCCTCTGTGAAAAGTGCCAGAGTTGAAGCATAAATTTAACTAGGAACCGCGGAGTGGTTAGAAGACTCACAATGGTGCTGTTCAAGCATCCTGGTGCTGAAATCGAACCATACATCTATTTCTTGGCTTCTGGCAGGAATCAAACAAAAGCAAAACTAGAATAATGATAACTGAAGCAATGGTAGTGATAATAATTTGAAAATCCTCCACTTCATTTACCTCCTTCTCTAGAACTATGTTTTTTATCCTTTAAATTATTTATAACTGTGGTGCTTTAGTGTATGTGTTGAGTCAAGCCATTGTTACGAATGAGCTTCAGGATTTTCAGTTTTATATCCACTTAAATACCTTCTATGTAATTATCATAATTATTGTATATTTTATTGCACTGCAAAAAATTGAATTAAGATTCCTTTGATAGATGAACAAGAAAATTAAGGCTTTGATAAAAATTAAGGTGTAAAAGTAAATAGTGATTACTTAGAATAGTAAAAGAGTATTATAAAAGCTCCAAATGTTTATAATAATGAAAATTTTGGTCAAATTAGAATATTCTGATATAGTGCCAGATTGCAGATAGAAATTCATATTTGGAACATAGGAACCATATTTTTTCTAAATATGTACTATATTTTATAAAATGACAATAGTGTACTGCATAAGCCCTTTTTATAAATTTACTAATTAACATTAAATCTCATCCTCATCACAACCCTGTGGTAGAGACATTATTATCCATATTTTATGAAAGAGTAAACTGAGGCCAGAAAATTTAAGTTACTTACATGAGGTCCCAGGGTTAGGAGGTGCTAGAAGTACTGAAATTCAGGCAGAATGGTGCTTCAACCACTATTTAATACTGACCCTGGAAAATTATTCACATTTGGAAAGATTATAGGCATGATAACAGCTACTGACTTTTTTTTTTTGCTTATATTTTCTTTTCACGCACAGAAGTGCTAGTTGTGTTCTTTTTTTAAAAAAAAGTAGTCTCCATGCCCAGTGTCTAGCCCCAGTTGTATTCTTAAATAAGCTTTAAAAACACCTATTTCTTTTCTTTCTTTAATAAAATAAACATGATGCAAGATCCTCCAATGCTGACCTAATTCTCTCTTCTATAATTTGAGGTACAATCTGGACTGTCATTAACCAACTCTAAGTTCAGATATTGACCAACTTGAGGCCACATAAATCCATACCTCCTGCTCATCTTTGCTGTTGCTCTTCTCCAAGTGCTTAGAGCTGTCACTAAATATTTTTCTCAGTATATAACCAGTTTCCCATATTCTCTATCTCCTTGACTCCCTGCCCCCCAAAGACTAAAATCTCTGCTTTACTGGCAAAGTTTAATAAAAGATGAAAAAAGAATTAGGTCAGAAGTAGAAAAAAGTAGGAGAAAGAAATAAAAAGAGGAGGGGAGAGGCAGAGCACTGAAATAAATGGAGTCTCAAATAGGTAATAAACTGTACTTTTGGACAAGTACTTACACTATCTTTGTTTCAGTCCCTTCAGCATAAATTAGGAATGATAATAACTGTGTCATAGGAGCAAATGTTAATAAGTTGGAGAGGGTTTGGACAGAGCCTGGCACACAGCAGTATTAGTTAAGTATTCATTCAAGTAGTGAAGAGCACTAGAAGGAGAGTGTGCAGACGGGAGCCTTTTCTCCTTAATGGATTCTTTCTTTTCAAGCTGCACTCTCAGTCCTACTCATTCAAAAACCAGGTGGTAAGAAAAGCAGGGGCTGGAATTGCTCTCAGACCATGCAGGGAGTAGTCTTGGTTTAAAGGAAATTTTTATACTGGAGAATATAGGTTCTGAGGGAATGAAAAAAAAAACCTTAACAGGATTTTCATGGTAGGGAAATGAGAATACGGCGTAAAAAGCTGATGTGATAGAGTCACAATTTACCTTCCTATTTTCAATTTTTTTGAAAGATTATGAGACATAATTTTTTGCTTTTTATTCTTTATTTAGACAATAGTATCATATTCTCAACTCAAATTTCTAAACATTTTTTGTTTGTTTACCTTAACAAATACAATTCTTAGCTCTTTTTTGGGTTAAGGTCATAAACAACCATTTCAAGGTCTAACGTCTTCTTATCTTTTATTCAAACCCTTACAGTTCTTCTTTTAAGGTACCCTGTGCAGATTGTAACATAATGAAATAAATCATTTAGAGATCCAGATTCTTTTACATTATGTATGCTGTCAAGTTTACTTATCGATGTGCATAGCATCTTTGCAAGAACAGACTCTCAGGTGTTCAAAAAAGACAATGCTACCAACTGCTATTAGACTTGTGAGGACTTCTAAAAGGTCTTAAGTATGTATAAATACAGATATATTTTATTAATTTGAACACTGAAAGGAACTTTCTTCTCTTATATTGACAAATTGTATTACCTAGTTTAAAAGATTAATAACATGATAATTTTGATTATACTTGTATATATACACAAACATAAACATATATTATCTTCGTGTATATGAAGAAAGAGAGCAGATGGATACCTTTGATTTAACAATATGTCTATAAATGAACTGTTCTTCTAGCAACCTCAGTCACCAATTCATTTTTAAAAAAAAGTTTTTGGCATTACAAAACCAAGTCAGAGGTAAATGGGGACATTATGTTCTATCCTACCTTCAACATAATCTCTTTGCTCATTTAGCAGGGAAGATGAGATGAAGCATAAATTGGGAGAGATCCCTCAGTCAACCTCATGATATCTTTGCAAAAGAGTCACTTAAACAAGTTACTGTGACTTGTGGAATCAGAGCAAAATAGATTTGTTTTATCTAGGGGCTGATGAAATTCTACGGCCTTGCTCAGTGCATCTGTAAACAAATACATTGGTAACATAGGTTTACAAAAACCTAGAAAAAGAATGCTTTAAGGAAGAGAACAAAACATTAAGATTTATCTTTCTTCGATGAAAGGCTCACACCCCAAAAATAACTATATTTGGACAAAAAAGAAAAATTCTTTAAGCATCTGGTTAAATCCAGATCATTAAGTGAGAAGAATATCAAAATAACATTCATAATTTAAATGGATACTTGTCAAATTTCACCATTGAATAAAACTTTTAAAACTTATCTCCCAGCTCCAAGTTAATTGAGGTCATTTAAATGAAATGTATAAACTTCTATAAGGTTTTATAATTATACAGTAGGCAATATATTATACTGTCATCAGTGAACCTTAGCTTCTTCTCTAGAGGTTATTCTGGAATATGCATATTCTGAAAAATTTAAAGTCAATGGAAATATGTCAAACAAAATCTATATTAAAAGTAAATATCCAAATAGATGTAGATATCTTTATTCTGGGGAAATAGTTCTTACACACATTTTTTTTTCTTCTTTAGCTCCAAACTGAATCTTTTTAAATGTATGTGTTAAAACCTCCTGTATACTTTTTCAAAAAAGGATTTTATTTATTTATTTATTTATTTATTTATTTATTTATTTATTTAAAGATTTTATTTATTTATCCATGAGAGATAGAGAGAGAGAGGCAGAGGGAGAAGCAGGCTTCAAAGGAGCAGAGAGCCTGATGCGGGACTCGATCCCAGGACTCTGGGATCATGACCTGAGCCGAAGGCAGATGCTTAACCATCTGAACCACCCAGGCGCCCCAAGATTTTATTTATTTATTAGAGAGCGAGAGAGCAAGCCTGAGTGGGGGCAGGGAGGGAGAAGCAGACCCCACTGAGCAAGGGGCCCAATGTAGGGCTTGATCCCAGGGCCCTGAGATCACGACCTGAGCCAAAGGCAGATGCTTAACTGACTGAGCCACCCAGGCACCCCAAAACCTCCTGTATACTTGACAAATACTTAATGAATTGAAAACTTTGCAATAAGTATAATACATATCACCAGTGACCATTTAAGAATGTGTACTAACAAAGGAATTCACCCAGTATTATAAATAAAAAATGTTGTTTGAGAACTTAAGGTTAAAAGAACTACTTGGATGCTAAAAGGGTGTTCAGGTGAAAAGCTTCATATTTTTGTTATTTTTATAAAATCAGCAAAGCAATGAAATTTGTTGACATAGTTGACTCATTTTATTGAAGGTGTACAAAATATTTGCAGTAAAGTAAGTTATATGTTTATTTATGCTATTGTGAGAGATGATAAAGTTTTATAGTTAAAGTCAGTGTAAAGATAGAAAAGCTTAGTAAGTTGAGTAATTTCACTTATTTCTAAACATTCTTGGAACTGAATAATTTTTTGGTTTAGAAATTCTTGACCCCCAACAATATATTTTAATGCAACTGGCAGTAACACATATGCCAATATGATAAATTTATATGTTATTCATTTTGTAACCAATCAAATCAGCATCCACTTAGATATTTCTTCTTGCCTTTCTGTTTTTTACTTTCACAAGAGGGGGGTATTTAATAGGAGTCTGACCTGAAGGAAGGTTATTCGGAACTTTGAGTCCTGGTCCATAACTATTTTCAGAAATGTCAAATATTATTATTTACCAAACAAAATTAATGGCATCTAACATGCTCAGTGTGAAGGAGCCTCTCAAGTCTATACAGTTACTGATTCTCAAAATGCATATGTGGGTCTAGGATATAATTGTGGAGGGAACTACCCAAGCAATTATGGAAATAACAAATACTCCTAACAACGTACTATATTAAAATAAAAAATTTAAAAGCTGCTTTAATTAAATGGCTTTATTAACTAGTAGAGCTGACTTGGATTCCAAATGATCTCTTCTTTAATTTGTGGAAGAAATGCTGCCAAAAATCTTGCAAGAATATGTTTTTTGGCTGAGAAGGAATTGCTGAACAGGAGTTCTTTAGGTAGCATAAATAGTAATATTGTTGGGGTTATGTGGCATTGGAACCCTCCTTAGCTATGAGGAAGGGTTTTTTTTTTTTAATGTGTATTTTAGGACGCAGCATTAATGTACATGAATGACTGAACTTTTCTGAAGGTTTTTATGGACAGTCATGAAAGAACAAACAGGGCATAGTTTTTCACACTGTAGCCTTTCTGTAGGTCTAGAATCTAAGAAAGCATAATAAGGGAATATGGTAATATGCATGGGTACAGAAAACAAGACTGTTATTTAATGTTTTAAAATTTTACTCAGGCATTTATATCCCAATGGTCTGCCTGAAGAATACTCCTTTTTAACTACTTTTCGGATGACTGGAAGCACACTTGAAAAGAACTGGACCATTTGGCAGATTCAGGATTCCTCAGGGAAGGAGCAAGTTGGCGTGAAGATTAATGGCCAAACAAAATCTGTTGCATTTTCATACAAGGGACTGGATGGAAGTCTCCAAACTGCAACCTTTTCAAATTTGCCTTCCTTGTTTGATTCCCAGTGGCATAAGATCATGATCGGTGTGGAAAGGAGTAGTGCTACTCTTTTTGTTGATTGCAACAGGATTCAATCCTTACCTATAAAGCCAAGAGGCAAAATTGATGTTGATGGCTTTGCTGTGCTGGGAAAACTTGCAGATAATCCTCAAGTTTCTGTTCCGGTAAGTATAAAACCATACACTATGGCTGATTAAAACAAAACCGGATTGCTTAAAAATGAATACTTCAGGTATCTTTGATAATCATCTGAACAAGTCTGAAGCAATGCACAGTTATTCATTTTCAAAATTCATTCAAGCACTTACTCAAAAAGCATTCAGTGCCTGTTTTGAGCATAGCATGTATCAAATGGAATGGGAAATCAGAGAAAGTCAAGTAAATGGCTCCTGGTCTTGAGGAATTTCAAATCTACTTGGAAGATGTTACATGCCAACCTGGAGCTCCCAGAATCCTTCAGAGGCAATGTAAAAGAAGCCAATACTGGTGTGGTACACATAGTGTATAAATAACTAATGAGAATATTCAAAGTAAGGTTAAGATGAATGGTGGATTTGGTAAGTCAAGAATTCTGTGCTTCTTGAAGGCAATGAACTTTGAAATAGAAGGATCTAGCTGAGGGAAAGAGCATTAAATGGAAAGGAAGTTGAGAATAAGTGGGCCCAATCAAAGGTCTGGAGACCAGCTGGTTTGGATGAAATGTATATGTGAAAATGTGTGTGTGTGTGTGTGTGTGTGTGTGTGTATGTGTGTGTGTGTGTGTGTGTGTGTGATGAGGGGAAGAAGGGTAGGAGATACTAATTGCAGGGTATGAGAGAGAAGGTTAGGAAGCCATATGGTGTCTGATTAACAAGAATAACAAGTATATAGATGGTACAATATGTATTTAGAAGTAGGTCTTGCATGACATATTATAAAGGTAAAGGATTTTAGAAGTCTGTTCAGGATTTTGCTGTAGAGTTCCATGGATATAAAGGTTAGGAATTATATAATAACAGAATAATTGTGCCAACTAATACCATATAGTTCTATCATTTGAATTGTTAAACTTTCATTGAACAATCCTTTAAAAGGATATTTTATAATATTATTACAGGAATTTAAAAAATATATCTTATAGGATAAGTGTTCTTTGGGGGGAAATTAAAGAATTTAGAGCTCAATAAACTACTGATACCAACATATACTCTCTCTCTCTCTCTCATACAGAACTGTTAAATTCTAGTCACAAAACTTATATCATGGCATGTAGCAGGGGTGATACAATGATTTTGAATTGTTTCCGTGTACTTCTCCAAAGGAAAAAGGTTATCAGGCACTCAGTAATGGAATTGTTCAAATAACTTATTTTCAAGGGAAGAATTGTGATTAGTGTTAAAGGTAGTGTGAAATTTCTATATTCTGTGATGGACAGGAAGCAATTTGTAACTGCCACATTACTGCTCTGGCTTGTAGACACTTGAGAAAGTATTTCTTCAACTAATGAGTTATCACACCTCAAGTGGCTGGGTTAAAAAGCCAATGGGACCACTATTGTGCCATCTTGAAGTTTTGTGCAGCAAGATTGTTGCAATGGCATGGGACTGGTTTGCAGACAACACCAAATTTCTGCAGTATCTGTGTCATTTCTGGGCCATGGGTAAGGGCAGAGAGACCTTAAGGCACCTCTTTAGTATAATGAGCATCAGTCAAGTACTTAAAAATTGATTTATTGTTTCATTGGTCTTGAAAAACATTTCATTTTTTTGTAGTTTCAAGTTTTTATTTAAATTCCAGTTAGTTAATATACAGTATAATATTAGTTTCAGGTGTAGAATTTAGTGATTCATCCCTTACATACAACACCTGGTGCTTATCACAACCAGTACCCTCCTTAATACCCATCACCCATTTAAGCCATCCCTTGTAAAACATTTCAAATCATTATAATTCTGGATGTGATGGAAGTTATTAAACTTTTTGATTGCCAGAGTGGTTAAGTCTCAGTATTACTCCAATATATTATAATCTAGCTAATGTTATAGCTGATGGCAGGTTTTCTGCTAAGTCTAGTCTCATATCAGAGTGGAGACCAGTTAGGACCAGTTATCCTCTATTTTATTCTGCCATGTGTGGGCATGCAACAAAGAACCTGGCAGCTGATATTATATTTTGCCTCTGGTCCACCAAGGAGCTTTTCAAAGTCAGTACGCTATGGCCAATGTTAAAAGTAATTGAAACAGGCATGAACAATTTTTTTCCTTTATACTGAATTTTCACTCTCCCACAAGGAAAGACAAAAGAGACTTGAACCTAAAGCTTCATTAAAGTTTCATATTTGATGATATAGTGTTGGTTGTAGTAATAATAAATAAAACAGCTCAAAGTTATAGGCCAAAAAAAATCCCACTGACAGCCAAGTACTGACAGTGACAATGTCAAACTCAAACTTGTCATCAAAATGTATTCCTCAATTTTTACCCTGTATTAGACAAATAAATAGAAAATTCTATGTAAGGAAAACCCATTTATGCTTTTTAAGCATCTTAATACCCTTAATATGCCAATTTAAAGTTTAAAAAATGCTTTCATTCCATTAACTTATTTTATCCTTGCAACAGTTTTATAAAATAGCAAGCATAGAAAGGATTATCTCCCTTTCTCAGTTGAAGATGTGATTTCAAGAGGATTTCTTGGCTTGTAAGAAGCCATGTTAGGCATAAAATTTCTAATCTACCTATTTTCTGCTGTGCCAACTAACTTTCCTTTGAGAAAAGTAGAAATATGTATAACCACATATCATTCCTTTTGAAGCATTTCCTCACTTTCATTTTGGAAGGCATTTGTGATTTGTGTAGATTTTTTAGAATATACTTTGCAGGACAAACTAAATGCTTTCTTTTTTAAAGAAAGAGGATTGTACAGTATAAAACATGTTCTCAGACATTAATCCTACTTGTTTATTAATTTAGTAAACTTCCATCATGTGCCTATATACCGGGTATACAAAGTTAAATAAATCACAGATCTTGTTTTCCTCAGTTCAGTCTCTTGAGGGTGAGGGGTTGAGATAAGTAAACAATGACAATACAACATGATAAGGATCATGATAGTGAATGGAAGCACATGGAAGAGGCTCCCCACTCAGATCAGGCCAGGGAGGCATGAGAGTGGAGGTCAATCATGTTTACTGTAGAAGATGATGTTTAGAGAAACCCTGGGGCTGAATGAGCATTATCCAGGAGAAAATAGGGTCCAGTGTTCTAGGAAGAAAGGCTCTCGTTAGGGACTTCCCACATATATCAATTCTTTCCTTTCAAGTTTATTAGTCTTCCCACACTGCTCCTTACTCTTCTAGACTAAGAACAGTCAAATACTCATACAAGTCCCCAAAGTCCAAGTTCAAGTGCCCATGAGTTGACCCTAAGCCCTTGTTTCTATTCTTGTTTTATGTTTTGATTTCTCACCAATTTGGCTGAAATTTGAAGTTGCTGGCAATTACTGAAGCTCAACAGTGACCATATGTTCCTTAGAAGACTTAGAGAGTGATGAGTCATAGTATCCATATATTCTGGGAGGTAGAAGTATACCGATAGGGCACCCTTCCCTCCATCTGGAGACAGCAAATAGTCAATATTAATGTGTGAGAAATTTTAAATTGGAGTGAAATGTGCCAATAATATAAAAACAATAAGGAAGAGTATATTTTTCAATTTTTCTTCATGAAATTGGATTCATTCTAATCTTTGACATTCTAGATTAATTGAATATTTTTCTCAGGATCAACACTGGCTTTTCTTCAGCAAATAAATCAAAAGCAAACATCCCTTCTAAAGGTATTAACAAATGTCAGAAGGTAGCCCTAGGAACTGCATAATAAAAAATGCAATTGAAACATCTGACGGAGCACTAATGCTAAAAGACTCATTTATATTGTACTTGTTTGTGATTTTCTCATATCTCTCCTATCTTGTGTCCCTTTCTCTTTTCTAAATTGGAAAAGGAAACTAATTTCAAGAGGTTTTTCATAAAGCTTGCATTATAGCTGCTCACGTGATCTACAACTCAAACATCTTCTCATCATTCATGGTTATTTAGTGGGCTCAGAGCATTTTATATTTTTTCCCAATGTACTGCTGTAATACATTGATAGTTTGATTTTAAAGCAATAAATCCCATATTTCCTATTCTCCTTTGTGCCCATATTTTAGGATGGTGCAATTTATCCCACTGCAAACTCAGTTTTCTGGCAGCATACCATAAAAACATGTTATTTTATGACAGGTTCTTTATTGTTTGTTGTCAGCATGATTGCCTAGGAGAGTTATTTGGTACAGCTCTATTAGAAAACAAAGTTAGCCCTTCTCCTTTTTCAGGGATGTACACTAGGGGTTTGGGCTTAAAGAAGGATACAAGTTTATGTGGCTTTACAAGTACGTGATTCAAAAACTTTTTCTTTTTACCTATGCTTATTCAAAATAAACCACTGTGGAAAATAATCAGAAGATATAGTGGCCTTTAAAAGTATATTTCAAGAGTGCTACTCTATGTTATTTTTGTTAAATTCAGAGAAAATGTGAGAGCAAATAGAAAGAACTGTCAAAACTAGTGATAGAGAAGTTATCTGTCCTTTTTTCTACTCCATAGAATTAAATAATACTAATCTCCACATACAGAAACAATGAAAGTTTCATAAAAGATAATATGGGAAAATCAACTAGGAGGTTGTGGTTAATATTCTTTTTGGTATTTAAGAAATATTGTAGGAAAGTTATTTTTCAGTGATTTAAGAAATGCATACTCTACTATGCATAATATCTAAACTATTAGGTTTGCTTATTAAGTTGTTTTTTTTTGACAAATACACCCTTTACAAATATCTTTCACTTGTAAGTATGAAATAAATACAAAAGAAATAGTTATGTCATGTATATATAACCATAGGAAATTCTCTTTAAAACCCTTTGGTGTAATTTGATGGAATATTTTTGAATACTGACTGTGAAGACAATTTTTTGGAGATAAAATTAGCCTGCTGCATTATAAACCATATTAACAATATCAGCTGGATTTTCCACTAGGTGGCAATGAAATGACAAGCACACAGAAAGAAATCTGTTAACATACGAGGAGTCATAATCAGAGGAATGGACTATGGATTACTAGAATATAAACTAAATGAGGG